AAGTAGGGGGGCGCCGCAACCAGTTTAAAAGGCAGAATTTCCTCATTTATGAGGGCGCTTGTCGTCGGTTGAACGACCCAGGTCATTTACAAGGCACAGATATCGGTTCTTCGCTCCATGCTTTTTTCCCTCCCCCTGATCATAATATTGCCCCCCCTTGCTCTACAGCGTGGGGGTTTTCCATCCTTTCTCGCGCGCGCTCTTTACAAAGAGAGTCAAAGTCGACAACGCGCGACCCCCGTGGAGCCCACCTTTTTTTTTCCTTCTCGGTGAGCACCGCTGCACCGCGCGGGATGGGGGGGATCATGGGGGTGGGAAGACGGGCAACACCGACGGGTGGGCGGTACCTTGACGCGGGGGGGAGGTTGGCGTTGCCGCCCGCTGCCGCCGCCGCCCGCCCGCCGAGGATGTGCACAAGGGCCCCGGGAGATGCATGGGATGACTTCATATGGGTTCTAGATTTAGGTTTACACGGATAGGGCAGGAGGGGGAGGGGGGTTCGGTGTAGGTGGTCTTGACCGAGGGGAAGATCGGTTCGGTGTACCTTTACGCAGTCGTTTTAGTGATTTCTTCACAATTTCGTTTCTATGCCGATATGGGCTGTGAGGTTGTTGGGGGTCTTTTGACAACTTGATGCTTGGCTAACGACCTGGATCATGGGGAGATAAGATAGATGGAAGGCAGCAGGTTGTTGAAAGGGGGACACCCTACATTGAAGGCTTTTCCAGCTTCTAGAGCCCTTGGTGGAATCATCTTTGACGGAAAAGACATACTCTTTTCCAAGTATCGTAGTACGATACTTTGTAGAAACGCTGCTTTTGGTTCCTTTGCCTGTGATGTAAGTGATGGCAAGAAGTGACGAAGGCCCCCACGGAAATTCCGGTTCATGGATGATCAAAGTTAGTGTGCAAGGGGGTTTTCCTTCCAGAAGCCTTCTTCCCGAGTCAGTCTTTCCCAATTTGGGGCTCGGTCGTTGTAGTGTGAGATTGGCCCCGGCTTTGATATACGGATAGATACGACGGGATTGATAGGAGAGGGTCCGGACTGTTTCTCTCATTCTAGTGTCCGGACCCCATATCCGATAAGGGGAGCCAAGTGTTTTTTTTGTTTCCCTCGTTACACACTTCCAAGGTCCAAAGAACGGTACAGGAATGGGGATGGATATGGGGCTAGGCTGGAGAGTCTGGGAAGATTCTGATGCAAGTTGGATAGGTTGACGACGGGCCTGTTCTCTCACGAAGCCTATGCGTAATGTACGTCCCCTGCACACACCGATACGGCTCACAGACAAGGCCCCGTCCATTAGATTCGTGAAAGCGTTGATCACGGCGTATTATTATTCTCGGTGGATGGAATAAATCTTTGAGTCGACGTTATACGGTCCTAGGATCCATGCGATAGATCATGTATCCGAGTTCAGGGGCTCTCTCACCAACTCTCAGGTACGAGCACATCACCACAGAGATACAACTACAATCGATCACTACCTTACAGCACGCCCACCATATTCTCCTTCGAAAGCTGTATCATAAACAAGGGCAAAGTAACCGTCAGCGCTTGATCTTTCCCTTATCGGCCGGGGCCCTTGGGGCTTGGGGGTGAGGCGACGCGCCTCATCTGGCTTGACCCCTGACCAAGCCCACACCACCTCTCCCGTCCGAGATCCGACGGACGGCCCATAGAAGTTGAGAAACCTTCCATTCCCTCGCCTACGGATACAGGGCTTATGTACTACTGCAGGTTTCTTAAGCTAAAGCAGAGATCCTCGACATGCATTCGAGAAGAACTAACGTGCCTTCTAGAAGGGCAACATACATGCTTCACTCTCCGAGATGCCGCCGGTAACCGTCCATCACCCCACGTGGGAGAGCGCAGGGTCATTACGTTGACATTGCCCAAGGGACGCCCCCCCCCCCCCGTAGTTGCTTGTGCTTGTATCCAGCGACTTAATCATGTCCGTGGAAGAGGGTTCTCAGAGAGCTTTCTCTCGTTATCACAGGTGTCCGGGAACGGAATTCCGGAGCCCCATCAGCACGGGACACTCGCGTCCTTCAGATGGCATAGATAAGAGATTCGGGAGGGCGGAAATCCCTTTCCCTCTGAGATAGATTCCGCTCACTATCCATAGGGTTTGGGCCTTCCCATCGACTCACTCTGTACCTCTCGCGTTTGTACTGCAGAAACGGGGTTCAGCTCTCAACGGACTGCAGCAACATGAACCCGCTTTGCTTGTTCGAGCTCTTCCTTGCCCACACATTGCCCTGCTTGTACTACGGCTCCCGCGTTCCCCTGCTCCTTGGGAACCCCTGAACCAGCAGACAAACTCCGGTAGTGGGAGTCCCCCCCCCCCCCCCGACCGTCATGCAGCATGAAAATCTTCTCGGCGGGAAGTTCTGGGGCCATATGCAACCTGATGACGCCTCACTACGTCTTTTCTTCGTGATGGGCTTGGTGGCCCAACGGGTCTCGTTGTATGCCGTGCGGATGAGTACATTTTCTCTGTTGGCCTGGAATTCCAATTACAGATTACTTCCATGTATGGGTCGCGGCCGGGTGATTTGAAGTGAGGAAAAAAGGCTTGGTAGCCTAGATTCTGAACCTTCAGCGGCTCTCCTTGTTTCTCGGCGCAGTGTGTTTATTGTCACCTTGAGCCAAAACCTGAAGCGCGGAATATAGATCAGGCTCATGCCTGGAAGACTCTGCTATGTAGGGGGAACTTCATGCAGTCTTCGGTGAGGCCTTGTTCGCTACCTTCAAGCCGTATTGCCTCTACAAGCAACGATTTGGCTGAAAGCGACATCCCGTCTTACCAACGGGTGCGCCATTGTTTGCATACTGTAGCGGTTGGTTATGCATGATCGGAAGGCACAATGAGGATTCAGCTTGGTCAATCTCGGACAGCGACTCAAAGCTACGGATGCAGACCCTTGATAACCGTGTGGGCTCATAGGCTCGATATGGACACACTTCAAGATACATCAGAGTCGCCTAAAGATAGCTTCCATCTCGGCGTTCCTCTCTCATGAGCGATCATCTCATCGGCGTAAGCTGTTTCTCAGGGCCGTCCCTAGCTCCCGATCACTCGACGGCACAAAGTGACGCCCACCGCCGCGCTGCGTTTCCCGATACCCCTTATCCGGGGGATCTGACCGCAATTCCTTATCATGGCCCAGCAAAGACGCGTCCTCTTTTCTACTACCATGAAGATGCACAATGAGGATTCCAGGGTGAGATCTCCGTAGATTCACTGAAGTCAGGCCATTCAGTCAATGTGTTCTTCGCCGTCACCTATCGACAGCTAAGCCGGCGCCTGACCCAGGAAACCCCAATCGTGAACCATTTCATTTCAACGACAACTATCTTTAAGACTATCCTATTCATTGCTTACCAACATCCGGCATCTGTAGGTTTTCTTTTCTCTATGAAGTGGCCTAGGATGACCAGAGAGTACCTGCCCACGCAGCCTCTTCACCTCTGTTTCATAAACTCGCCCCAGGCTGTCAATCTGAACCACCAAATATACAGATATAATGTGATTTCCCAGCAGAAAGATGGTACGGTAGCCAAATTGCACCTGTATTCAACTGCCCCTGGACTTGCGATCGCTGTCAAAACACGCGCGCGCAAGCTGTGTGTGGTCAGCCTCACAAATGAAGCTCTTGCTTCCCTGATGTATCCGTACATGATAGGAGACCTTTCAAAGTGCCAAATTATGACGAGCTTGCATACGAAGAAGAGCTAAGTGGCGTATGAGTTCTTATCGAATCTCACCACAATTTCACTCGAGACGCCCACCAGAAAATTGATAAGAGTCACTTTTTACAACCCAAATGAGCCTTTCATTTACTTAAGCCCTTCAGAAAGGGTCTCTGTGGGCACTTATTTTCCTCATTTTCTCTAAAATTATGGTTGATGGGAGAGTAATGCTCGTCACGGCGGCTGTTATATGCTTCCACGCTCACACATCGCCCAGCAATGCGTTCTGGCCCTCATTTCAACCTAGCACAAAAATAAACCCTGCAAATTCAGCCCAAATAGCTCTAGAAGCTGCGTTTCAAAGCGTGGTGGATGAGGAATGATTTACAGGCCTTCGTCTTAAGCTCGTAGGGCGTCGACACCCAGCAGGGCGTGGGCTACTCACACCCTCTGATACGCATTAGCTAACAGAATCACTCGCAAAGTCTTACCACAAGACTCAGTAGATTAGTTTTTCTTATGTTGAGAAGCCGAGAGCATATTTTTAGGCGTGCAAAGGAGCCGACGGTGGGCAGGGCTGGGTGGGTAGAGATTTCACATCCTTATCAGCTTGCTCGACTCAAGCTTTAGATTACCCCTGATAAGCCAAGTCCCTCCGTTGGCTCGCTCGCATTACCTTGAGGTGGTAAATAGCAGAAATAATCGCTTGCAACGAGTACGTAGCTCATGTTGTCTTCATATGAATTGAGTACTGATATGATGTCTGTCTTTACGGTATTGAGATCACAATGAGGCCATCCCCCCAGGCCCAGCAGCAGCCAAGTATTCTAGAGGTTAGGATCAGGGCACTTCGCACTTGATCTCATTGTTATTAGCTGTAATCCATGATGACTCCAGGTTAGTGAAATTGGCTTAGTGCTTTTACGAGTAGTAATATCTTGCTCTTTTGCATTGCGTACTTTGTCTACTCAGATCTTCAAGGAGATTCGTTCACGGACGTACCCGAAGAAGCACGGTAAGACAGGTAGTAACAAAGACAGTGACGATAAGAGGAGACTGGCAGCTTATCTTGTCACCTGATTGATGGTCGCTGTAGGCGTAAGGGGTCTTGATCGCCAGTCCACAATCGTTCTTGGGACCTTGTCGCCCAAATATCATCAAGTAAAGCCGTATTTTTCACACATAGATGCAAGATTCCCTTTCAAACTCATCTTCGCTAAAGTCTAGGATCGAAAAGAATATAACAAAACCAAGTCATCAACTCTGGTTGCAGTTTTTGAACTCATAGTCGGACACTCCAAGTCTCAGTCCCTCTTCCCACTGTTATCCATCCGTGACATTTCAGTAGCAGGAGCAACACCCTGCCCAATACGACCCTCGGGCAACTCGTTCATCGCATCCTCCTCCTTATCCAAATCCCTGAACTGAAACCAGAAGATCACACCCGCCACGCCAGCCAGCACGGCCACGATGCCATAGTTCCATACCAGATATGGGTCAGTACTCAACGGCGTGAAAGCCTGCCCCAACGCCGCGGAGATGGCCGACATGAAGAGCGCCACAGCCTGGACCATGGACCGCATGTTTTTGGGCGCCTTGCTGAAAGCGTACTCGAGGCTGGTGATGCTGGCAAAGATCTCAGACAGGGCGATGAGCACGTAGGCGCCCGTCTGGGCCCAGACGAGAATGTCAACGGGAGGGCAGGGGTCGCCGGTGGGTAGGGTGCCCGAGGCGAACTGGCCGCAGGCGGAGCGCTTGTAGATGTAGTACTGCAGCACGCAGGCCCAGACCATGGCCATGGCGCCGGTGAAGAAGCCAAAAGCGATCTTCTTGATGGGCGTGAAGGGGATCCTGAGCTTGCGGAGGGTCGGATAGAGCACTAGGTCGCACAGCGGGATGAAGAGAATGAGGGCTATGGGGTCGAGATTGGAGAGGATATCATTGGGGAGGCCGTTGAGCTGCATGGTGGCGGCTTGAGAAACTAGGTTGTTGTTCACTTGTGAGGGGTTAGATGAGGGTGATAACCTACGAATGGAGGGAGGGCAAGATTTGAGGCTTACATTGATTATACGAGAGCCAGTAGATGGGATACCATGAAAAGACGGCACAAGCTGCGAAGCCACGACGCCTGCAGAGGTTAGGAACCAGTCAACCCAAGTGCGCCGAGGCAATACTTACAGCTCTTCGACCCAGGCGTCGTCAAAGGTCATCCACTTTGGCCGAGTCGCATCGGAGAAGTTAGAAGGCTTGACCCTCTCCCAGAAGGTCCCGTCATGCATGTTCCTCCAAGTCTTAACTGGGTTAATCGACCATCTACCCTTCTGAGCAAAGAGAAACGTCCGCAGAGCCGGTCCCAAAACCGAGCCCGTCGGGGGCTGATCGCGATATCTACCCTTTCCCCACCACATGACCAGGGGGCACAGCGCCAGCATGCAGGTCGGCAGCGTAAAGCTCAGCCAGAAACCGACGTACTTCTCGGCGTACACCATTGAGATCTGGCCGACCAGAGCACCAATATTGATGAACATGTAAAACCAGTTGTAGACCCTGTTGATGGTGATGGCAGGGTCGACAATCACCTTCTCTCCCGTCGTGAGCGTCCTTACGGTCAAGTGATCGATCTCGAGCTGCTCCGCGATCAAGGGACTGACGTTGGGTTTGAAACCTCCTGTGGCAAAACCAATCGTTCTAGCTAGAGTCAGCTTGATAGTGATCCGGACCGGCAGCCAGAATACCACTTACATCATGCCTACGAGCAGTGCGGATAGCGAGTTCCCGGCTGGCTTGGTGACGACGGGCGGGATAGCGGCGGTGATGAGAATCAAGTGGCCTACGAGATCAACGGCGATGGAGATGCAGATGGTCTTGTACCGCCCCCAGTACTTGTCGGCGACCCAGGCGCCGAATAAGGGCATAAAGTACTGCCAGAATTGGTTAAAGGTCGTGATGCCGGTTGACGCCTGCTGGCCCATCCCAAGCGCACCGGGTTGGCCATTGGGCGCGGCGCCGGTCGTCGAGCCCGCTGGGAGAGGTTGTTGGATGAAGTTGGTGACTGGGATCGGTCAGTATTCCTCGACCGTTATGACTTCACTTATTCGCAAAACATACACTTTCAATGTCAGTTTATTCTGTAAAGCGGAGAACTCGAGTCTACTCACGACAATAACGGAGCCATAGTACGAGAAGCGCTCGCACAGCTCGACAAAGGCGATGGTGAAGAGCTTGAAGGGAATGTGGTCCGAAACTCTCCTCAGAGTCTGCAACTCTTCGTCGGTCGGCGCATCTGGCCGCGGCTGGATACCCCTCTTCTCGTCGAGAGATACGTCTTCATAATACTTCATGCCGTATGAACCCTCTCTAAGCTGAGACTCAGAGAGGGACTGTTCAATCGTATCCCCAGCTGGCATCGTGTTTTGGTCTCTCTGATGTCAAATCAGATATTGAAGCTGTGATCGTCACACGAGAGTGGTCGTACGGAGAGATAAGAAGACGTTGGGTGGCCTTCCGCATTTATGGTCTTGGCTCTTCCGGTCCGATATGTGAAACACGATTAAAGAAGCCGTGAAGGACACAGGGGTGAAGACGGGAAGAGACACTCGCTATCTTGGGGAAAGAAGGGCAAGGATTGGCTCATGATAAGGTAGAAGGCGAACAAGCAGGGATACTCAGCCATGATAAAACCAAGAAATAACGGACGGGCTCGTAGCAGGTCGTGGGGGTGGGGGAAGGAAACACTACACGGAGCGGCAGCGGACTTGGGGCGAGCAGGCCTGAGCTCAGGGGGCAAGTGTAAGAGAAGTACAGACGAGATGGAAACCAGATTGGCGGATGTTGAACCTTCGCGCGTCTTCTCCTTTGCAAATCTATTGTAGGAAATGTATCAAGACAGAATAGTATTATAGTTGTCCTAATAATCAAGCCGATTGATATGGATATCTGTATGTGATTATCGTTGGCTTCGGCTGCGAATCATTCAACCGACCAATCCCTGAGACATGCTTTAGCTGTACGGTCGATTAGACTTGACACTTGAAGATTCGAGAAAAGAAAAATCTTTAGGTGTCAAGTCTAGTGACCTCCGACTTGGCGATCAAATGGACGCGTCAATCGCCCGAATGGTCGGGTGTGGCCAAACCTGGCCATTCCAAGTGCCGATGCTTCGTCGACGACAACTACGTGATGACTGTTCTGTGCCGGCCTGCTACAATGCCCGCTCTGCATGTTGTACAACTCACATGCGTACTCGTTAGCTCATAATATGTGAGACGGTGTGAAGTCGCGACCATACGAATACCCATCAGGCGGGATGGTTTATAATCTGATTCACCTCACACATTCTCACCACCAGTAAAGGGAAAGTTGCCCAGAAATTTAGACACGGCGTGTCCTTCCTCCATCGCGTTTCGATTACCACCGGCGGCAGGGCCTTCAGCTTCATAGCCCGAGCTCTAATCGCAGTAGAGAATCTAAAGAGCCAGCGATTGCGCAGTGCCCCGAGTTACTGCCGGCCCCTCAGCGGGAAACGTGGCCGTCGGACGTCCAGGTGAAGTGACGATACGTGGCGCATGTCGTTCCGAGTCAGGAAAAGAATGCAGCATACGAGAAATGGCAAAGATTTGAAGCGTGTCGTCAGGCGACAATCTCACGCCCTCTGGTCAACGTTTCGCTGTTCAAAAGAAGAAGAGGTCATCATTGACGTTTTCCGGGCGGCTCCACTCTGGACCGGCGCCGGCGCTAACTCCGGCTCGGCAGGAAGGGGGGCCGTATATGTGGAGTCGCGTTACATTGGCGGATTGGCGCTTCTCTGATGCGGATGGCTCAGGGGGCAGATATCGGAATGTCCGGGTGGATGAGAAAAGCTCGAAGACGTTGCTCGGAAAATTCTTGGTCTCAGGCTCCGTCTGTTTGGCCAGCATAACAAGGATGTCTCACCCGCAGATTCATCCTCAGAGTTGCGCAGGAGAATGATATTCATTGGTTCGCGCATTTGACGCATGTCTCTCACTTGCAAACAAAGTGTCTCAACCGACGGCGCATATGGATGCAAAGGTAGCGGCAATTCTTCTTGAACGAGGAGATGGAGTTATCTTGATGAAAGAAGCGGCCTTGCTGCTCGGTATTATTAAATGTCTATATGAACGTTCGGAACGGCCGAATGGGATATGCAAGAAGAGAGCAGCGTAACAAATCACTCTATACGCGCTCCATCACTAGGCCCAAAGATTTCCATCTCTTGAACCATCCTACTTTACGCCCATGACTGAGACCTTCAAAGAAGCCCTCCCCATACCTAGACGTTGTCTGCTTTCTAGAACTTGCCCTTGAGCAGGTTGGAAATCATCTCGCGACCGGTGATACGGGTCGTCGTCCACAGTGTGGGGAAGTCGAGGGTGCTGGACAGGCCGTCGGCGAAGCCAAAGAAGAGCATGGGCGGGATCCAGCCGCGGGCGTACTCGAGCGCGAAGCAGCCCTCGTCCATCTTGTACTGCTTGACGTCGCCGCGGTGGAGGTGGTGGACGGTGCCCTGGGGGTAGACTTCGGGCTCGTACTTGCCGGGGACGTAGGCGAGCTGGGTGCCGTAGAGGATGTTGAAGTAGTCGTCGGCGGTGTGACGGCCGGAGTGGCCCTCGGTTCCGATGGCGGTGCCGAAGACGATGAGGTACTCGGTGATGCCTGGTGGGTTTTATTAGTAAACTGCCTTCCATCATCTTTGGAAGATTGAGAGATGGAAATGAGGAGACTCACTGGCGTGAATGATGTACATAGCGCCCATGGCACCACCGGCGTTGTTAAAGACCCATTCCTCGTCGAGGTTGACGTTGGTGGGGTGCAGGCCGTTGAGCTCGGTCACAATGTAGTTGACGACGGAGCGCGTGTCGTTTCCATGGGTGGCGATGGCGCGCTTAGAGAGGTCGTGCAGGTGCTCGTGATCAAAGATGTAGAACTTTTCCAAGTTCTTCTCGAGGAACATGTAGATGGGGGTCAGGAGACCGATCCACAGCGCCAGTGTAAACAGGCGCCCGAGAGACGGCATTGTGATTTGCGCAAAAAGTCTGGAGTAAGACTTGGGTTACCAAAGTGCAAAGAAAGGGGAAGGAATGTGGTGGTCCAATTGACGGACTTGTGTACAGTGGAGGAGAACGGAGAGGGCGCACACGGAAAAGGTGTTTGGCGACGGGAGCACCGGCGAGATGGGTTTAAGAAGGGCTTCGTTGAGCTGCAGTACCCGTTGTCGCATCGCTTATTGGTTTTGGTTGAGAGATTGGCAGGACCCTGCATTTTGCCCTTTCTGCCATGCGCCACCGCCCCCGGAAGCTCAAGTTGCCAGTGGCCTGACGGAGCTTTGATGGTGGGGCTGGCCATGGGTTTTTGTTGTTTAGCTGCAGCTATCCGGGATGGCGGGGCCGTCGACTGGGCAATTCACTGAGAAAAAAATCGGACTTTCGGGTTTCTGACAAGTGCAATCTCAACCACCGAGCAAACGGGACGGACTTTGATACTCCAGCCTCACATACGGAGCCGAAAGGAAAATCCGCGACTGGGGCCAGCTCACACCAGACACCTCACTTCTCAGCAGTCACATACACGTAAACTTAAGTGTGAAAACGGCTCCAACCACAGCTAGCTCTCACACGTCATACATCCACCCCCATATCTCATCACCATGGCCACGGTTGAGACTCCCCAGACCGCCGTGCCGGGCAAGGTTCTCGGCCCTACCACGCGGTTCGCCGCCGGTCCAGGAACACATGTCTACAACGGTAATGTCGTCGCCTCCCTGCTCGGCGATGTGACCGTCACAGCATCGGCCAAGGTCCAGGCCGGCCTCACGAAGCGCCTCAACCGCATCACACCGCTGTCGCCCGAGGAGCTGGCGACCATCTCCGTGGCACGCAAGGGCGCTAGCAAGAAGCGCGAGGTGCTTCCCGACGTGGGCAACATGGTGCTCTGCCGCGTCGTGCGGTTGATGCCGAAGCAGGCCATTGTCACGATCCAGCAGGTTGGCGACACGGTGCTGCAGACGGAGTGGCAGGGTGTCATTCGCTCTCAAGACGTGAGGGCGACGGAGAAGGACAAGGTCAAGATCTATGAGAGCTTCAAGCCTGGTGACGTGGTGCGGGCGCAGGTGGTGAGTGGCCTTTGGCAAGACATCGAAAAGTGACTTGTGATGGGTAGCTGACTTGCTATATCAGATTTCTCTGGGAGACCAGGCCAACTACTACCTCTCCACCGCTGCCAATGAGCTGGGAGTCATCATGGCCACCAGCGAGGCTGGCAACGACATGGTGCCCGTCAGCTGGAAGGAGTACAAGGACCCGGAGACCGGCATCGGAGAGCCGCGCAAGGTGGCCAAGCCAAACTGATTGGGGCGTTTTCTCATCTACTTGCCTGTCTTTTCACGATGTGCAGGTCAAGCTGCGGAGAGCTTTGCAGCTGGATACGCTCAGACGCTTGAGGTTGCAGAGTATTCTGCACCGCCTCGCCAACGAGGCTGAGGGCTGATGGCCGTTCGTACCCCCTCCTCGCTCGGCAGGGAAGTGATCTCACGGCGTTTCGAAACGAGAGAGCCAGCATGACGACGTGACAGCGAACTTTTTGGGGCAGTTTCAGAGTTCTGGACCGAACCCGAGGGCCGACTTGGCTGGTGCATCAGCGCAGCAAACCAAGAATTAGGGCCTTTTACTATCCTTCCTGGTAGCGTCAGCATCAGCAACAGCTGCCGTCAGCGGCAGTGCATGAATTTTTGACGAGAGATGAAAGCATGAGCTCCACTGCCAACCAACGATGCAGTGGCAGTTTGGAGGGGTTGCATGGTCGGCAGGGTGCCCTTTGTGTACGGATTTACTGCAACGACTCAGCACGGGACTTGACGAGGTCAAAGGACTGATTGATGGGCAGTCCGATGTGGGAGCCTTATTCATGCAAGGGGACGATCAAGAGTTGTCAAAAGGGAACGGATATTGGGCGCCAGAGACAAAGCACGAGCGCAGGGGGAGGAATCGCCAGAAAATGGTCGTCTACACTCTATAGTCGTCAATCATGACACCTACATGATTAAGATGTCACCAAATTCCCAAGTGTAACCTGCCGTTCCGTTCCCGTCGGGGCATGGACATGAACGGACATTCCGCAATTGGCATTAATTTAAACAACCAGTCAATTTGGACCAAGAGGAAGAAACATGACTTTGTTTAATCAAAACGGTTGCGGCCCGCAAATGAAAGAGAATGTAAAAGAAATGGCAGCAAATTAAGGCTCAAGCAACAGTCGTACAACCGTTCCCGTCTCTCCCTGCCATCTCGGTTGATGAGGCTTCAACGGCAAGGAGAGTGCTAGAACAGAAAATGGGGTGGAGCAGTGTCGGCCCCCGTATGGAGTACCTAGGTAAAGCCCAAATTGGGTTTCTTCACCCAATCGCCCGACGCCGTTTTGTTAGGACCCGCCCGTTTGGGACACTGAAGGACCCCGGTCCACCGTTCCTCCCCAATCATTGTTATCACCCCCGAATTCCCACGAAAGCAAGGAGGCGCAGTTACCGTTCGCGTCGTCAATTTATTCGTGGAGGGAAACGGCATAGAAAGAAAAGGGCAGGTGTGTGGTGTCACGTAAGTCTGGTGGCTAAGGTGGTGGCATGTGGGCGGGATTTCAGGCAGATGGGGTTCTCTCTCTGCCATCTTTGATTACTTTTGCGAACCCATACCCTTCAATTGTCTCTTCTTCCCTTCTCTTTGCTTTTTCCTCTTGGTGGACTTATCGATATTCAATATTCCCCATTCGACTACAAACGGATACACCTCACCGAACCTGCAACAAGAGCCAACTACACCTTGACTTTTTCTGCCTCCCCAAAGCGCCGCGCTGCTACGAATAAGAGTTCCAAACCACCCTGCGCGAACACTCTATTTTTCCCAGATATAGTAGCCCGACATATGATCGTGCGCGGCCACCCACCACTCGCATTTCATCCCCCCTCCTGACGAACCTTTGGCACCTCGACGTCACACCTTTCAAACTCTCTAGCCCCCCCGCCGCGCTAAAGTAGCTTTTCCTTTCCTCATGCGGGGACTTTGCAACGCCTCGAGCACAACCTAAAAAGAAGCTTGTTCTATATCCCCCGCCACTTCAAACGTCCAAGTCGATTGTGTATCTAGAAATCGAACTTCCCACGGAACTGCACCGAGGATTACGAACAACCTCCCAGCTTCATCTTCACCGCACAACCGAGAAGAGCGTTTGAAACGAACAATACACCTAATTTCCTTCGCTAAAGCCATGAGCGCGACAATGACAATGACCGCCGCGCACCCGCCGCTAACACCGCCAACCCTCTCCCTCTCAACCGACCGCTCAGAGCAACATTCATGCCCCTCCTGCGGTGTCGTCCTCGAAGCGCCCCCCGCCCTCCTCGAAGCTCAGTCCCGCATCGCCGACCTCGAAGCCCAGGTCCGCCTCCTCAACCAAAAGGCCGCCGCCGCCGTCGACCGTTGGGCCGACTACGAAGACGAGCTCACACGTCTGCGCATTGCCGCCTCCCACCGAACCTCTACCCCCGCCGCCTCTCCCGGTCTCGCCCCCGCGCTGCCTCTCGCTCCCAGTCCTTCGCCCACCCGCACCAGTTTTTTGAGCGGCGGCGCAAATAGGTTGTCACAGCTTCTCAGCCCGCGGGGCATGAAGTCCTCGCCGAACCTGCGCACGCCGTCACCGCCGCCTGACGGTCCCGCATCGACGGAGGATCTGCGGGAGGCGCTGGGAAGGGAGCAGAAGATGAGGATGGCTGCGGAGAGCAGGCTGAGCACGACGAGCCAGGAGGTGGAGGAGCTGAGCGTCAGTCTCTTCGAGCAGGCCAACGAGATGGTCGCGACGGAGCGGCGGGCGCGGGCAAAGCTCGAGGAGAGGGTCGAGACGCTGGAGAAGCGGGATAAGGACAAACTGAGGCGGTTGGATAGGCTCGAGGGCGCCGTGGGCCGGATCGAGAGGGTGAGGTCGCTGTTGGGGGAGATGAATGCCAGGGACGAGAGTGTGAGGGAGGCGGCGGAGCAGAAGAGGGCTTCGCAGCCGTGACGGGAAGAGCCTCCTGGACTTTGGGAATCATGATGGAGTAGGAATGTACGATGCATAGCGGTGCGATATGCGCGGGACTTTTTAATGACGATACGACACGAATTGCATACTGGGCGGGAAATACTGGGTAAACTTAACGAATCATCATGGCCTGGGGAAAAGTCCTACGGAGGAGGAAGAAGCAAGACCGAAGCCCGCCCACAAGAATCGAACCTGTGAGCTACAGTTGTAGGTAGCGCTGCACTTCAGGATTAGGGGTGTAACCATCTTAGGCTTCTGGGCAGAAGTCCCATTTTCAACTGACGGCAGGAAAGGAAGCAAATCGATTATTATACCTCTGGTATAGTACGTATTGACGAATACACAATGGGAATACCGGAGAGAGATTGCGCATGAGGTAACACGGCCTTCGGGTCCGGAGAACACAATTCAAACGACATGATTGAGCTGTTTTAACTGATGAACTTCGTCACCTTCTTATTTATAAGGGCAAATGGGCAAGTCAAAATGAAGTGTCCAACTGTCGGGTCACCCCTCGATCTGCAATGCTTTTCTGGGTCATGCTAAATGAAGCCTCCGTACGCCGTGCCCTTTTCCCAGGCCGTAGCCTCACAAACTAAAATGTGCTCATCACGAAGAAGCCCTTGTGTCTCTGTGTACGTTGTGTCTCGTCTACCTTATGCGATGCTCAAGCTTTAGTCTTGAATACCTTCCCATACGTCATCAAACTTCTTTTTGTTAGCTGACTTCGCCTTGGGAGAAGTTTTGGGAGAACCTTTGGGTGACGCCTTGGGTGACGCCTTAGGTGATGCCTTGGGAGACTTCTTGGGCGAAGACTCCTTGACATCGCTAGCCTGCTCCGACTTGACCACCTTGGCGGCGGGCGCCTCGTCTCCCGAGCTGGAGTTTCTCCTCTTCTTGGACGCGTTGTCGTTCTTCTCGAAGCTCTTGTTCTCCCACTTGCGCTTCCTGTCATCCTTGCGGCCGTGGTTCTGCTGCTGCTTCTGCTGACCTTGGGCATTCTGTCGCTCGCGTTGCGACTGCGGTGCTCCGTTGGGGTACTTCTCGGTCCATTCAGACAATGCCTTGGCGACCTTGGGTCCCCAGACCTCCTCTCCCTTGAGAACGTCATCGTACTCTAAGCAGCTATCAGTGCGGACCTCGAAGTCGCCCTGTCGGGATCGCTCAAGCTCGGCCATCATACCCGCAGAGTCGACCTTGGCACCCAGATCATGGCAGAAGCTGCGAACATAGAATCCAGACGTGACCTTCATGCGGATCCTAGCAGCGGGCGGGCCCTTGTCGGTCCAAGGGAAGGGCTCATCCGCAGATGGGGGTGGCGGGATGAGGTTGGAGCCCTTGCCGCCGGGGAGCTGTCCCAAAGCGCCAGACATCAGGGCCGGGTTCTTGGGCGGCTTCTGCTTCTTGGCAGGCTTGTCGCGGATAAGACCGTCCTGGCGCTCCTCAAACTTCTTCTTAACGGTCTCGTGCTCAGAGAGGGCTTTCTCTTCTTCCTTCTCCTCCTCGGGAGTGAGCCGGCGGCCGGAGCCCTGTTGCTTCTCCACTCGCCAGACCTGCTCAGCGAGGTTCTTCTCGGCCGTCTCAGCCTCTTCGGTAGGCCATCTGTAGTTGTGCGTTCCGGGCTCGTACCACTCGACCAATTCGAGCTCGGATACTTCGACATCGCGTCCCACGATTTCTCTAGGGATAGCCTTGCCCTCACGAGCGTACTCGTACAGCGGCTTTCCCTCCATCTTGAGTGCCGAGTACAGAGGCGGGATCTGCTCGAACTTGCCCCTGAAGCTGTCCATCGCCTTCTCGACCTTTTCTTTTGTGATCTCATCGTACGGCCGTCTACTCAATATTCTACCGACGCGGTCGTAGGTGTCTGTGCTTGCGCCGAAAAGTACCACCGTCTCGTAGGTCTTGGTGCAGTCGAGGAAGGAGCCGAGTGACTTGGTACCCGATCCGACACCCAGAATGAGCACGCCGGTCGCCAATGGGTCGAGTGTGCCTCCGTGGCCCATCTTTACGCGGGAGTCTTTCTTAACGGCTCGGCGGCGCTTCCACTCTTGCTTGGACTCCTGCATCTTGGCGGCAAGGTCTCTCTCGATCAACGGCTTGAACATGGCTGAGGGGTTCATCTGCTGCTGGCAATCGCGGATCACCTGCGCAGAGCTCATGCCGTATGGCTTGTTGATGGCTGGGTTGGAGATACCACGGTCAGCGTTTGTCGAATCGCATCGCACGCCTGGAGACGCCCAAAGAGCAACAATGGGAAGCAAGGAGGCATCGCTTACCGAAGACGCCTTCGTACACGGTGTCTTTCGCCATCTTCCAGAGATTGGGCGTAATTCTCATTCGCCCGAAGTTAAGGATCTTGGGGGGTAAAAAGAGAGAAAGAAACGATGCGGCCGGTGGGGGTAGGTGCGACCTTCTCTTTAGCTTTTGCGCTTTCCGTGGATCTTGCGCTTCTCTGCATGCAGTTCTGGGAAATTTTTTTAGGAAGGGACGTTCCAGTGATTCCTATCGGCTTATCTATTGGTCCAGGAATGACAGAGCCCCTGTCTGCTGGAGCCGTGGACTAGCAAGTCCCCTGTACCAGCGACGAGTCCCGCTACCTTTCTTCCCAGCTTCAGTGGGGGGAGGAAGTGGTGGTCGCCTGCCCCGCATCAGTAACTGTACTTCATACGGTACGCAGGCACAACGTTCCGCGCGCTCTAGCTTTCTTTAATGGATTTGAGAACCGCGTTCGCGTGCTCCCTTCCCACCTACCCACACATCGTCGTTGTGGCCCGGCGCAACTTGCACTATCACCCCGCAACATCTCATTCTTCCCCCACTGGGAAACGCATCCTAAGCCCGATGAACTTGCGCCTGGCACACATTTACGCCTCGTGCACCGAGAACCCCCACCCTCACTACCTCGAACGATTGCAGCTTTAAACAGGACAATGGCTGGACGGCGGCGACGAACGTCGGATTCGACGACTGGCACCGTCGAACCCGACAGACGGGCCTATGCTAAAGAACTTAGCATTCTCAAGAGATACGATCCTGTGGAGGGAGACATGCTACAGACATTTGTTCTTGAGGATGCCATCGTCTGCGACAAAAAGGGCAATCCCGTTGAGCTCTTTACCGTCAATACCCAGGGCCCATTCACTGTTCGAGGTCGCGTCGTCATCGACGGACCGCAGACGGCAAGAGGTCTGGCTTGATCCATGAATACTCATCGCCTCCAATCGCTTACATCACGCAGCCGTAAAACCTTCTACGAAATCAGCCTTGATCGAAACCCACGAATGCACTCGTTACGCTATCGGCGTTAGCGACAATGGCTATGGCGCATGGGCTGGGGGCGCGGCGGGATGGTACGAAATTCGACCACCATCAGCCGCCTACAAGGCGATATTCGACCACACAATCGAAGGAGTTTCGATCTACTACACGATTCTAGACATCATCGAGGAGCACGCTGCAGCCAATACGAACAAGAAGGGCCCCAAGAAGAAGAAGGGTGTAGCAATGACCATTGAGACGTTGTTGTTCAAGGTGAGCCTGGCGCTGAGAAGGATCCGGCGATCTATGCTGACGCAAGTGACAGTATGCAGTAGCCATGGGTGATGGTGCTACTCTTGAGGAGGTGGAACAGCGCTGCGACGATCATGCATCTTTCCTCATATCCCATTTCTATGAAGAGCCAGAATTCGAATGGACGCCGACGCTCTTTTTCAAGTGGATGACAGAGCGACACCCAGTATGTGTAGCTCCACCGAGCTTTGCTGGAGACCCAACTAATCATTTTAGGATATTCATAAGAAAGTTCTTGAGCTCAGGAAGAAGAAACTAGCGGGTATTAAGCCTGGTCCATCGATACCAGAGGACACCGAAGCTGTGGTGACGCCGACTGTTTCGGACGAGCTGCCCGCGCAGAAGGCGTTGTCGAAACGAAAGCAAAGGGGTACACCTGCCGACGATAGTCAGACCGATTCGCACGACTTTGCTCTCTCTGCAAGGGACATGAGGTCCAGATCAAGGGGCAAGACCAAGACGCAGTCGCCCTCCGCCCCCGAGCCTTTGGAGGAAGCCATGGTAGTGGACGAGACCCCAGAGGTTCCAAACCAAACGGAACTTGTCAGAACTGTCCATGACCGATCCAACGTGGATGCCCTCCTAGAAGCCATCGACGACATCAAGCCCGAAGCTGAGCCGTTGAGTAAAGCAGCGTTCTCCAAAGTGTCATCAAAATTGTACTACAAGTACAAGGTCAAAGCCTACCTGGGAGCGGCAGACATTCTCAAGTACTATGCGAAAGAGCTGGTTGAACGCCTGGATCAGGATGAGTGGAGAGGGTCTGGTTTCTGGAAAACGCTCGAGGAATCTGCCCAAGGTCCTCGCTTCTCTCTTGAGCACATTCAGCTTGAGCAAATTCCTGAAGCCCTAACGCGGCGGAAGGCAAAGGAAGTATCAAATCCACGGAATCGTTGGCCATCACTTCCTGAAGAGGCCCAGGGGAGCACGGATGTTGCAACTCCTCCTCCAAGACGTGTCGGTAGACCGGCTGGAAAGATGTCAGGCCTTCGGCTTGCGGGCACCAGTGGTAAGCGACGCTTTGACTCCGGGGATGAGACCCCAGAAAGTGTCTCCCGACAGGTCGCAAAGAGGTTCCATGCCGGTGACGCTTCTGACGAGGATGAAGTCATGAATGATGGCAGCAGCTCTGAAGATGACGATTCCAGTGTCGATTCTGCAGAATCGCCCACCGCATTAAAGGTCGTTGTGCGAGCAGAGAACATTCCAACAACAATACCTAAAGGACCTAATGGCACTTGGGTCTGTGACGAGGACGACTGCGGGTTTGTCGAACGAAATCCAGAATCAGAAGACGGACGTATAAGAATCAACGAGCACATGCAGAACGAACACTACCACGAAGACGAGAACCAGGTCCAGCGCATCAGCTTGGCAGTGACGGAGGGTGACAAGAACCATCTCCCCATAGAGTATGCCTCCCCACTCTCCTCTCCTGAATTTAGATATGCTTGTGTTTGAGACGAGCCACTAGAAGTTTCTCCTTTTTGGGACACAAATCCAGAAAATGGTCCTCGTGGCAGGTCGAATCTAATGTAGACGACACAAACGAGAGCGATGTTTTTTCAGGCACCTAGGGCGACCTTGCAGCTGGTTCAGCTGCCCTTTGAGATGAATTTTGCTAACAACTGTCCTAGTCACCTGCTCGAGAAGATCCGCCAAATGGGCCACAAGATCCAAGCGACGGAAGAGTTGGAGATCAATGAGACGGTCGTGCCTCAGCCCATCAAAAGACGGTTGCTCACTTGAATGGGCAATTGCTAGCGATGCTTCGACGCAGTCAGGGGTTGCTTACGGCGAGACAAGGTTCGAGGACAGAAACACAATTGGTTTATTTGCATGGACTTGGCGTTTAGGGGAGATTCAGCAGGCATCTTCAGCACGGCGTAAGCTGATGGCGTTGGTTAGAGAGAGATCACACGGATTGGCTCATGACGATGACGTGCATTATTATCAGCCCAAGGTTTTGGCTTTGAGCGGCTGTCTTTCAAGTCACTTTTGTAGGAATCAAATGACTTAATACCCAAAGCAGCTCTCCGTCTTGGCATACGAATGCTCCTGTGTACCATCGAAATAAGCAAGAGAATGTGAGAAACAGAGTCTCCCAGTGTTAGCTCAACACCCACCAAAAATCACCCGCGTCCTCGGCCAAGAGTACGCCATTGATATACCTCGGCCACTACTGATTTATAGGTAAAGTCTGCTTCCATTCATCTGATATAGGACAGCTAACCTACGGCTTTATGAAAATTGTAATGCAAACTTGATCTTTGTCTGGATCCAGCTTCGAGCCCTGCCGCACGCTCCAAACCCCCGAGGCTATACACGGACTGACAAATGTCTCATATTCCACCCCGGGAGCGCATAGTGCTCTCGTGGGGTCGCAGCTCGGCGTCTCTTATGCTGTCCAGTCCTTCGTCTGCTTTTGGTTCGCCAACGCCACGCTCCAAGGCCAGACATCTTCAACCCTAAAACCGCCTCTGGTCCAGGTACTTGCTCGCTGTTGACCATACCGCCTTGTCAGCCGCCGGAACCTCCTTGTCGAGCGTCTGTACGCCCTTGTGGATGGCGTCGAAAAAGGCAAATGCAAGTTGAATATCCTCCTTGAAGTTGGTAGCGTAGGGGAAGAAGCTAGTGGGGAACTCCTCGATTTTGGCTTGTCGCAGCTCGATATCACCGACGGGAAGCTCGTCCATGAGTGTCTTGACCGCAATTCCCAGAGCGATGTCAGGGTTGTGGAGGAAGGGCAAACTGTGAGACCGATTAGTGGCTGAAATGATTGAGGTCAAACAAAGACACTTACGTCTGGCTGATTTGCAGGTAGTCGTTGCGATCTCTCTTTGACTGTGCGTACAGGAACATGGACGCCACAATTGCCTCAACGAGGTCGCGATCCGCCTCACGCACAGCAGTCGAAAGTGACCGGAAGAGGAGAAGGTTCTTGTTGAGCGGCCCGGTGTATCCATTAGACTCGTGTCGAAGTTTCAATAGGGAGGCACATCTGCTGATGAGAAGGATGCTCGCCTTCTCTTCGTCAGTACCGTTCATTGGCGCTCCATTAAGCTCTTCGTGTCGATGGCCTGAATTGAGCACATCGTGCCTGATGAGCTCGAACGCATTCAGGATCGCCTCAAATATGTTGAGACCTTCAGGTACCTGCAAGTCCTTGAGCGAATCCTTCATCGCCCAGATTGCGCTGGCAACGGCGTTACCCCAGTTCGTCAATGTGTGCGAATCATCGACGTAGCCGCGGAGATGGAGGAATCTCCAGATGGCGACCGCCGTGATATTCTGAACAGAATCAATGCCTCCAATACGCTTCTTCTCTTTGGGGAAGGTGCCTTTGACGAAATCATCGAACAGGAGTGCCAAAATCTCGAAAGCGATGGATCCAGGGGGTTCATCGACGCCTTCGGCGACAGTCTTGAAGGAGCTTTCCTTCACGTCCCATGTGGCGGCACGCTGAGATGGTGATGGCTGAAGAGACTTGTTGATTTTATACGAGAAGTTGTCGTCGAACCAAACCTTCATGGTGATGGCGTTGTGCTGGAGACCACGGTGAAGTCTCGGTATCAGAAGCGCGATGCTCTGCTCCTTGAGAGGAACAAGTTGGCTAGTAACCAGTTTTCTATACTGTTCTGAGGCAACTCCATCCAGCGTAGGCGTGACGACGATTCGACTATGTGTTATATAGTCGAGGACGCGAGAGCCAATTAGACCAGTATTGAGGTAGTGGAACAATTCTCCGGGAAGCTGAAGACCAAGGTATTCGTGATTATCACTTGTGATGTGGTCAAAGTCGTTGACTTTGATCTCGCCTTCTTCGGATATATAGATGAAGTGGTTGACGGCCATCTTGGCTTGTCTGTACTTGTCCAGCCACTTGGGGTCCTTTGACTTCAGAATGTCGCCGTAGGAGCTGCAGGCTGATTGAACAGATTTTTCCGACGCTCTTAAAAGGTTGACAGCATCGTTGATCGTGAAAGGCTGGCGTGGGTTGAGTGAAGTGTCCAGGAGTGGTGGGAAGGGTGGTAGGAAGGAGGTTCCGGTCATGAGCAGAGCGTCGCTCAACATGCCTTCGCTGATGTTCAGTGACCGCACAAGATTCTTTTTGGATAACGATGTGACGGTCTTTGCCTCCCAATCTATCGTTCGAATCAGGGTGTCCTTGATCGGATACAGGATCAGCTCCTGCGAGCCCATGACAGCGGCGCATTGGTCTGAATCGATCATGTCGAAGTGGGCGAGCTAATAGCTCGTCAGCATCGAAAGCCTCGTCCTATTCAAGCTCGAACCTACCTGAGCGGAGGCATTATAGGGGGGGACAAGGAAGTGCAGGTCGTTGTCCTTCAGGATAGACTTGAGCAAGGGGTAGAGGTTCTGGATGCGAAAAGCGCCTGCAGTCTCATGGTCAGTGTGGCCCATCGGCATCACAGCGATGATGCGTACCGCTGTTGGCACCAAACGCGTCGACAGCTTCCTGTGCGTGGCTGTTGAAGTATAGCTTCCAAGCTTCGTCCGTCTTCTGGTTGGCAGTTCGGCCTCGCTGAACGGCGACCTCCTCTTGGCCGGTCACCGACTGTCCATCAAAGATGAAGAACGGTACGATCTTGTGTGCCTTCCATTGGTCGATATCAGCTCGGAGATGGTGCTCAATGCCAGTCATGCCACCCAGAGCGGGCAGGAGAGGTTCGTGGAAAGGAGGGGTGTCGAGGAAGAGTTGGAGGTAGTATGTCGCGTCAATGGCTATCGCGCAGTCCTCGAGCTCGGAGACATCGTGACTCCTGCCCAAATGATTTAGTTAAAAGGAATCTCAATGTTGAAACCCTGTTCGACTTACGTTGCCTGGCCATTGATCCAAGCGTCCTCCACAAGACCTGTCATATCGAGTCAGTAAATCTCATGGTACAAATCGCAGAGCGTAGCCCGGCGGTTGTGAAGCGCAGGAGTGAGAAGAGGCTGATGTGCCCGGCCGGAATCGTCCTGCCCGCCGTTCCTTCCTGGTGTGGTGAGGTGTGCTGTTCCCAGAAAGCCGAAATAGCCTTCTTTTTGACGAGTGTAGCTCGAAAGGTTCGATGCCAATGCTCAGGCAGAGTCTTGATGCTTCTCGACAGGCGAAGCTACGACGTATGTGGGTGCGTAGAGCTTCCAGGCAGGTACGGCGGAATCGGATGTTTTGGGGCGCAGGAAGCGGGTATGACGCAGGTAGCCTTGAAGACATGTGACGGCGAGGCGAGGATCGGGAAGAAAGAGATCGGAGAGCAGAGCAGAGGACCAGCGCATCGCGGGGTTGGGATTTCGGAGAGGCGGGAGAGAGGAGGAAGACTCACAAGGCATCTTGTCGGGCCTTGCGCAACGGCGAGGAGCTCGTCAGCTCGAGTTGACAACAAGCCGTTTGGAGGTGGGAAGCGGGTGGAGCTTGGGTCGCGAGACCACTCAGGGGAGCGGAGGCAAAGAGACTGGGCGCTTTGTAGAAGAAGTCGGAATAACTTGCAAAGGAATGGCTGAGCTTGTCATGAAAAAGGGAACGGCCGTCTGCAGGGCCAATGACACTGACAAGCGTGTCTCAAAAGAAGAGGGGAGCTTTTGGAAAAGAACGCTGGCGCTGGCGGAGGGGAGGTAATTGGAAAGTTTGGGGGTTCAGGAACGCAGGTGCGAGGTACCGCACCGCTGTACAGGGGGAGCAAGTTGGCAACCCTTGGGTTTCGAGGCGCTAGGGAAGTTGTAGGGTTAGCGTGTGTGAGAGGTGGAAGGAACCTATGGAAGGGAAAAAGATGTGGGTGCTGTTTGTGGCGGTGCATGTGGCTTGCTGCTTCCACGACTGTCTGTCTCCCTGAGGTGATTTCCTCCCACGATGTTTCCACTTTGAAGGTGCTAGTTTCCCTTCTGTCTACGCCTACAACGCATTGCCTTTCCTTCCGGGTGCATATTTAGACGCCTGTGTCCATTTTGCATCTTACCTATCTACCTTAGGGCTACATAAGATATGGTAGTGCAACAATAATCATCGGCTGCACTATGCATATACAGAGGTTCTCTTAATTAATTTGACAACCTAAGCCTCGAGAGAAATACGCCCACCACCTCACGATTATAGGTACGATGTCAAGCAAGCATCTCCTACCGGCAGCACGGTGTCGGTCCAAGTTCCCGCCAACACGAGCCATCGCTCAAGCCACAGGCAGCATCAATTGACCGACCATGCAGCGGTTCCCGTCCCCGCTGCCCCCCGATCCCCGCTCTTTATATTCGCCTGTCCTCTGTGTCAGGGATGTGCGATGCAGCCATGTCTTGATCCCTCTTCTTCGCCGGCCCCTTGCATGTCTGCCCCCCGACAAACATCTTCAAATGACATTTCTCGGGAGCACAGCAAGCTTTGAGGTTACAGCTGCCATGGGATTTGCCGTCGCGTACTTCCATCATTCTCGCATACCCGGCCCCTACCATGCGACTATGGAGTTGCCCAAGTTTGAGCCTTCACAACTGGTCACTAGTATTTATTCACCTCCCGCATATACGTTCAATGGCGTCTCCATATCTCAAACACCCGCAGCTGGCTACCTATTCATACGGAATGTCCAAGGACTAGATGATAGCAATTGTTTGTATCAGCCTCCGTCTGTCTGTTCTTCATCCGAAAGCACGTGGCCAAGCCTACTAGCAATCTACCAAGAGCACACGATGGCGCAAGTGCGATTATACGGCCTGAACCCTGCTCAATTGACAACCTGGCCCTGGTGCATGCGGAGGTTCCTTCAAGCAGAGCAACACCAACATCAACACTCCGAGTAGACGGGCTCTGTTCACTTCATCTATTGTAAGCTTGGACTACATGCTATTCGCTCTGTCGGCCTAGTCTGACCGTTGGATTCCGTGGCGTTGGGGAACGTTTGCTAGCTGACAAGCTCTTGTCAAGTTTGAGCTTCGCTACTTGAATATTACCTTCTCCATTCCAATACCCGAACATCCACTGTCCCCCTCAGTAGACAGGTTACACATCCGACGAGTGCAACACGACACCTCAGGACCCGTCAACCTCTCGTGATACCAAATCTGACCACGGATATCCCGCTACCTCGGCCCTCTCCGCCCTTCAGTCGCTATCAAACGCTTCGTAATAGTCATTACCCAAGTCGTTGCCCCGGCCCCAAGCGGTCCCGTCCGCCCCTCCATTATCCCAGTCTTATCGCTTATCGCATCCCACTTCGCGCGACTTCGGTTGAATCTCGCCCCTCCAACCCTCCATTCTAATAAGTCAGCTCCGGCCGCCTCCCTTTCGTAGTACTTTGTCTGACCTACCGCACCGTGAATTCACAAATAGACGGAGACAAATACACCATGGCGCCAAAGGCTAATATTCCAATTATTGACATTGCTGCGGAGGGTGTCGACAGGACCGCCATTGCGCGCCAACTTGTCGATGCCGCCGTCGAACATGGCTTCATTTATATCCGCAACACGGGCAAGTACATTGCGCTAAGCGATCAAGAGTCGGCATTTGATCTGGTATGGCCCAACTTGAAATGGAACCTCTTTCCAGAGCAATTCAAATGACAACAGTAAACAGTCCAAAAAGTTATTCAAGGCACCGGTCGAGGAGAAGGCCGCCTGCACCATCCAGAAGAACAACCGCGGCTGGTCTGGTATGCACTCTGAGACTCTCGACCCCAAGAACCAAAAGGTATGGCTGATCCTACCCAAATCTAGGGAATATGCAGATGTTGACTTTTCCATAGGTTGGCGATTACAAGGAGTAAGGTCAAAGGGTCTTTGAGCATCTTTACATTTTGACTTACACACCATTCAGGGCCTTCAACTTTGGCGAGTTCAAGGATGGCAAGGCCCAGCAACCTCTGCCTCCCACCATTCAATCAGATGAGCCCTTCCTGAACTCGTTCAGAGATCAGTGCCATACCCTCTGTCTGGAACTCCTCGAGCTTCTCGGCATTGGCCTCGATGTATTTTCTCTTCCCCCTTTCCTCCAGCTACCCTCTCTCCACGAGCAGCTCACTAAACTTGTCATCAGGTCAACCCCACAGACTTCTTCTCGTCCGCCCACCTCCGCTCAAAGGGCGACTCGGGCACGATCCTCCGCATGCTCTACTACCCGCCCACCTCAGCCACCTCCTCCAACCCAGACGACGTCCGCGCCGGAGCCCACTCCGACTACGGCTCCGTCACCCTTCTCTTCCGCCTCCGCGGCCAGGCGGGGCTCGAGATCCTCACCCGCGAGAACACCTGGGCCCCCGTCCCCGTCACGCCGCCCGGTACCGAAGCCGACCCCTTGCCTCCCATCCTCATCAACATCGGCGACCTCCTCAGCTACTGGACCAACGGCCTGTTCCGGAGCACCGTCCACCGCGTCGTGTTTGGCGGGGAGGGCGCCGAGGGCGAGACGGACACCGGGCCGAGGTACTCCATGGCCTTCTTCTGTCACCCCGTGGGCTCCGTGGCGTTGGATCCCGTGCCGAGCGATAGGGTGAAGGAGTTTGTCGCGCCCGAGGGGACGCCGAACGCGAATCCCTACGCGGAGCGCAAGGTCATGACTGCTGATGATCATTTGTTCATGAGGCTGAGGGAGAGTTATAAGGGACTGTACAAGGAGGAGGAGACCAAGGCATGAGTTGTAACAATTGGACAAGCCGAAATTCTCAATGGTTGTATGCATTCGTGAAACGACCATGAACGCCGTGACGTGTAGTATCCCTGGCCACGCTATGCAAAGTACAGACATAATCATCCCCATTCCCAAAGTCAACATCCGGAGAAAAACAAAAACAAAAGGACACTCTGCTAAGCCAATCCAACCCACCACTTCCGCTTGGGATCCGGCTGCTCCTTGGACGGCTTTAACCCCTTGAGCGCCTTTTCCAACGCCGTGACGTCCTCCAAAAGGCGCCAGTCGTACACCTCAACGTAGTCGCGCCTGCCATTCGACATGTAAACCGGATTATCGTTCAGACATTTCAACAAGGTCTTTGTTGCTTCCCTGCGGTTGTGTTCGACGAAGCAGATTTTTCGGGGTCGTTTTCTTCTGGGGCGGTTCGTGGCCGAGGTAGATGCGGGTGTCGATGACAGGGATGCTGCTGCTGCTGATGATGTTGATGCTATTGTGACGGAGGATGCTATCCAGTCTCGCGGATCCGCGGTCCATTCGTGGATACTGTGAAGAGGGAGAAGATTTTCGGTGACCCAGGGTTGTTGGGCGATGCAGGGCGCGAGTAATACCGTCGTATCTGCAAAGAGACAATTGTCGCCTGCGTGTTGGCACTTGGGCTTCGCTTGTGTAGACGAAGGTCCTGGCGCGCTCTGACGATGCGGCTGAGGTATTTCTGAGACAGATCCTTCCATCGCTTTGCCCGGCTCATGTAAAGCAGCAATGGCTGAACTAGGCGCTGTCTGGTCCACCACGATGTGCTTTGCTGTCGCTGGCCGTGTTTGGGACGCCTGAGGAGAGAGAGACATCTGATTGGCACTGATATCCCCGAGCGGTCGACGGGTTGGCGGAGGCAGCTCTCGACCGGCGGTGCCAGATTCGGAAGAAACCCTCGGTCGTTTCTGCGGAGTAGCGTCTTCCCTCTCTGGACCTCTTTTGCTGGCCCTCGGCGAATTTGCTGCTTCGCTGGCAGTCTTGTCTTCAGCGATGAAGCCCATTTCTGCTGCCTTGGCTGATGAGGTTGGAGGAGTGATGAGAGTCGGCTCTGGGGCTTCTACCAATGCCGGTAACCGCTGGAGAGGCTTGGCAGGGCTTACGGAAAAGTTCGGCGCTGGCGAGGTTGAAGGCCGTACGGAAGAAGTGCGAGATGGCGTCATGAGAGAGCCCGTTGTGGACTGGCTGATAGCATCAACGGGAACACCACGAGGGTCCGCTCTTTCCAGTTTAGCAATCCAGTCCAGCATTTCCTGACTATCTTCCATGGCCGGAGTGGTGGTTGCTTCTTCAGCCACGGCCTGCAATTCAGAGAAAGAGATTGTGTCCATGAAGGATCGGTCAAAGTGTACCTTGGACACCTGAGGGAACCTCGGCTGCCAGAAGTTGGTGTTTCCCTCCTTATCAAATGAGAAACAGCGGACATCAAAGACCAGCGGTTCGGTGAAGACAACGGTGGGCATTTTTTGTTGAGCGATGCCTGGTGCGAGATGAAGGATCAAGGCATCATTGTCATCAAAAGACACTGGCATCGGATTTCCGTAGATCGAGACGGTCTTGAGGAGGGTCTCGTTGAGTTCCACCTGGTGAACCACTGTGAACACAGGCCGTGCCTGGCACCTCTCTACATCCTCCTTATTCTCAAGGCAACCGAGGTAGAAGTGTGTCCACTTGAGGTTGGGAATGC